GGCATTTGATTCATGTGTTATGATGTAAAACACAAGCACTGTTAGCCTTGGGCGAGTATAGTTATCCAAGAAAATGCCTTGAAGCAGTTTTCACTTGTACTGCAGACACCATCACCCAGAACAAAGGAGTTTCCACCTGGCAGTACCACTGTCTGTTAGCCATCTATGTTGAGTCTGGGGATTGTTTTCCCCACATTCCAGTCTCTAACTAACCAAATCCCCAAGCTTAGATACACATTGCCCACCTGACCTAACACAGATTTGTACTTTATGTCTCATCACCTGATTTCCAGATTACATGAACCTACAGTTACTATGTACTCTCCTTTCTCTTAGACATTTTGCTTAGTCTCCAGGCAAAATGTTGTATTGAAGGTTTCCATCCTGACAATGTCTTCTGATAGGAAGACACTGTGCTTGCCAGTCTATCAACCTCCTTCCCAGTGCAGCTGTATATGAGTGGTGATGGTTGACTGAGAGTAAGACCTGCTAGCATGGGCTAGTACAACCACTGAAATGCTAATCTATTCTTGAAAAAATAAAGGTGCTTATGTAATACACTTAAGGCATTTAATTAGGAAATGATTTACCCACTGGAGAACTTACCAGTCCAGTTGAACTGACAAAACCTTCAGTGGGCAAAACATCTATTCAATGTTATAAGTGTTGCATACATTTTCTTTTATCTCTACAGTTTGTCAGTACTGATATTTTATACCTGATACTCCCCTAATCCTATCAGATTGAAAGACGGCCTTATGCTGTTGCATCTAACCTTGTCCATGTAGTGACTCACTCCAGCACATCATCAGTCCAATTAAAGCTTGATTTATCATTTTATTTTTGTCTTTCTGTATATTTGCTATCCTAAACTCAAAGAAAAAATTGGTTGATGACTGTATCAACTACCAACAAGTATGTATATAAGTACAACACTAAAACATTTATTTTTAGAAAAGTTTTGCTTACCAGAAACTTTCCCAATCCAATGACTGACATGGTAATGAGAGAAACATTTATATAATGAACAACCCAGTGCTGCACATGGGTCTTATTAAATAAGAGAAGACTTTAGATTCAGAATATATTTTTTTTTCTCTTTTTCACAGAGTATAATACCAATACCCAGTACAGAATTTAAATTCTCAAACAATGACCTAATATAAATGCACGAAGATGGGAGAGTATACATATGTAGATATGTGTGTGTGCACTCACAAATATATACATACTTAAATATGTACATATATAAATGAAGATGAATGTGCGTGTGTGTGTTAGTTACCATTTGGTCCTAGGCACATGTCGATTAGACACTAGGCCTGATATGTGTGTGTGTGTGTGTGTGTGTGTGTGTGTGTGGGGTGTGTGTGTGTGTGTGTGTGTGTGTGTGTGTGGGGTGTGTGTGTGTGAGAGAGGAGGAGAGAGAAGAGAGATGAATGAGAGAGAGAGAGAGAGAGAGAGAGAGAGAGAGAGAGAGGGGAGGAGAGAGAGAGAGAGGAGAGAGAGAGAGAGAGAGAGGAGAAAGGAGAAAGGAAAGGAAGGGAAAGGGAAAGGAAAGGAAAGGGAAGGGAAGGGAAGGAAAGGAAAGGGAGGGAAGGAGAGAGAAGAGGAGAGAATATATAAATAAACAAAAGGGTGGATGAGGGGCTTGAACCATGGTCTGTAAATTGACAGTCTGACACTCACCAGTCAAGGCTAACACAGGCCTGGGTTAGCCTAGATGGTTGTGTGTCCGACTGCCAATTTATGGACAGTGGTTTGAGCTCTCTCCTCCTTTGTTATCCTCAGCTTTGCTTACTACAACTTAATTTGAGTAAGCATGAGAGAACGAGGGTGAGAGAGATTGAGAAAACTGAAAGAGACTGAGAGTGAGAGAAATTGAGAGAGAAAGAGATTGAGAGAAGTGAGAGAGTAAAGGGAGGAGAGGAGGAGTGAGAGAGAGGAGAGAGAGAGAGAGATTGAGAGAGAGATTGAGAGAGATGAGAGAGATTGAGAGAGATTGAGAGAGAGAGAGAGATGAGAGGAGAGAGAGAGAGAGAGAGAGAGAGAGAGAGAGATGGAAAATGAGAGAGAGAGAGAGAGAGAGAGAGAGAGAGAGAGAGAGAGAGAGAGTGTGTGTGTGTGTGTGTGTGTGTGTGTGTGTGTGTGTGTGTGTGTGTGTGTGTGTGTGTGTGTGTGTGTGTGTGTGTGTGTGTGTGTGTGTGTGTGGACTCACCTAGTTGAGGTTGCAGGGGTCGAGTCCTAGCTCCTGGACCTGCCTCTTCACTGGTCGCTGCTAGGTCACTCTCCCTGAACTGTGAGCTTTATCATACCTCTGCTTAAATCTATGTATGGATCCTGCCTCCACTACATAGCTTCCCAAACTATTCCACTTCCTGACTACTCTGTGACTGAAGAAATACTTCCTAACATCCCTGTGATTCATCTGTGTCTTCAACTTCCAACTGTGTCCCCTTGTTGCTGTGTCCCATCTCTGGAACAGTCTGTCTTTGTCCACCTTGTCAATTCCTCTCAGTATTTTGTATGTCGTTATCATGTCCCCCCTATCTCTCCTGTCCTCCAGTGTTGTCAGGTCAATTTCCCTTGACCTCTCCTCGTAGGACATACCCCTTAGCTCTGGGACTAGTCTTGTTGCAAACCTCTGCACTTTCTCAAGTTTCTGTACGTGCTTGGCTAGGTGTGGGTTCCAAACTGGTGCCGCATACTCCAATATGGGCCTAATGTACATGGTGTACAGGGTCCTGAGAGATTCCTTATTAAGATGTCGAAATGCTGTTCTGAGGTTTGCTAGGCGTCCGTATGCTGCAGCAGTTATTTGGTTGATGTGTGCTTCAGGAGATGTGGCTGGTGTTATACTCACCTCAAGATCTTTTTCCTTGAGTGAGGTTTCCTTGAGTGTGTGTGTGTGTGTGTGTGTGTGTAATAAAAAATTATTACATTTTTTATAGTCAGAACCTCTACCATCAGAATTTCTACATACCCAATACTGTATAGCAAGTGTCATAAAACAATTAACAATCATATATTTCTCCTCATTAACTACAAGATCACATTCTTACAAATAATATACAGAAAATGACTACTTGGTGTATAAGTCAATGCTGATGTCACTTCTAAATAGTATGTATTCCCATTATTTATTAGGATGTGAGAAACAATGTGCAGTATCCACAGCATTGTATTTCTAAAGGAAAAAAGCAATAACTAAACAAAAACAATACAAATTCTGAAATATAAAATATAGTAGTATCAATGAACATATATTTTAGCCTGAGCTATGAAAGTACTGTATACATTAAACATAAACTGCTTCAACTTAAGAAATGGACATTTCATTAATTCATTTTATTATTCTCCAAAATGTTGAGGTTTGTGTGTCATCAACAATAAAATAGGGTGTACTTATTAACATAATTACTATCTCCATTAGAATGTGTTCAACACAGGTTTTATGAGCACAATTCTCTTATCTGTTATTGTTATCCACAACAACAGATAAGAGAATTGTGCTCAAGTGATAATACATTAGCACACTGCTTGATTTTACCCTCAAAGTCTTAATGAATGATCACAAGTAATGAAAAAATCCTTTAATGTAGGAACATGCAACATCTGAGAAAAGAAAAACCTACAATGTATCAAGAAGATTTTATTAAGTAGTCATAACTCTTCGGCCACAAGAATTAATAATACACATGTAGTGTATAATTTTTCCCAGCTGTAGTTATCATACACTATGTTTACAAAAGGCACTGTAATCTGAAGGATTAAAAAATTCCTGCAAGGTGACCAAAATTCAAAAAGAAAGATTCAAAATAACAGTTCTTTTCCCTTTTGTGTTCAAGGCATAAGCTTACTAGTACTCTAATTATATGTTAAAACAAAACATCCTTGAAGCTTTTGACATATTTTGAAACTGGAACTAAAGTGAATATTGTATATTTGTATGTTGTAACACTGGAACTATATATTTTTCCTTTGTATATTAACTAAATATTTTTTTCAATAATCAAAACTGAGTGCATTTAAAAATTAAATATTATTCTTAATAGATTATTTCTCCTTACTGCAAAACAATTTGGTAAAGTTTAATAAAACTTTTATGATCTAAATATGACTCGTCAAAAAATATATTAAACGCCCATTTCATTGTATCATTTGGCCAGAGAGAGAACTTATATTTATGTTACTTTCTTGCAAAATACAAAATACAGGAGGGCCCCAATTATACGGCTGGTTAGGTTCCAGGCTACCGCCGTAAAGTGGAACACCCTTTTTTTCCACTTACAAATGCATACAAACACTAGATAACAAGTTTACACTAACATATATTAAGTTAGCAATAGAACCAGGCATCTAAAAACAATAAAAAAGTACAATACACACATAGTGCACTCATTACTTACCTTAAAATATTTATAGTCTTAATCTAGGGTGAGACAAGTAGTATTTATTGTAAGAAATCAAGTGTGGTATGTATGGTAGTCAGCCAGGCTACCATACCAGGCCACCCCACCCACACATACAATTCTACGATATTTAAGCATCCAGAGTGATAAAATGTATATACAGTTCACTCATTACTTACCTTAAAATATAGGGTGAGATGAGTAGTATTTATTGTAAAAAATCAAGTGTGGTATGTATGGTAGTCAGCCGGGCTACCATACCAGGCCAACCCACCTATACACATAAATATTCTATTACATTTAAGCATCCCAGAGCGATAAAATGTATATACAGTTCACTCATTACTTACCATAAAAATATTTGTAGTCTTAATGTAGGGTCAGGAGTAAGTAAATGAGATAAAACGAATAAATGAGAGAGAGAAAGAATGAGTGCATGAGAGAGTACAGGCGCAGAGTTATGTAAACAAACCAGGCGAAGGTAAGTTTTGTAAACGAAGTGTACACGTCTAGTTTGTGTACAAGTTACATTGTGTACAGGTTGTTCTACATTGATACGGTAGAATAAATATAAAGAGAACACTCCCATTCTCATGTAACATCATTTTGAGAAGAAATGATGCTCTGAGTGAAGGCAATGGAAATAAGTCACTCTGACTTTTTTGGGTTATCCTAGGTTCTCTACACATGTTGTTATGTATGATAATCTATGTAACTGTATTTGTGTATACCTGAATAAACTTACTTACATACATACGAAAGGAATAATTTTCTACAGTTACCCCCAGTAACACATTTTCTTTTATGTTAGATTAGAGAAAATGTTATTCTTGGCATCACTTGTACAAGTTATCTGGCTACCACATCTCATATTTATGCTTATTTATTCTATTGTAGGGTGTATTTATCATCTTTTTATGTTATGTATCATGTTTATTATATAATTTTGAAAAAAATATCATGGATGGATTAATGAAAATGTGTATATTAACGTAATATACAACATTTAATGAGACTCGGTGATTATTATTATTATTATTATTAGCATTTCTAATATGGCGTCACTTGTGCAAGTCGTCTGCTACCACATCTCATATTTATGTTTATTTATTCTATTGTGGGGTGTATTTATCATCTTTTTATGTTATGTATCGTGTTTATTATATAATTTTGAAAAAATATCATAGATGGATTAATGAAAATGTGTATTTAACGTAATATACGACATTTAAATGAGACTCGATGATTATTATTATCATTACTAATATGACGTCTGGAGACATAAGACACTCTTACTGATTTTAATGTGTACCTGCATGCCAGCACAGTATGTAAGTTTATTTAAGTACAGGTATACGTAAGTATAATTATCAGAGTATATATAAAATATGAAATAACTTTTAAAAACATTTGAAATTTTGGAGTTTCCAGACAAAATGGAGAGACTTAGTGCTTACTGAGCTCACGAAGAATGTAAACAAGGTGGGGCGCGGTGACCGTATTAGAAAGTCAGGTGGGGGGAGCCGTATAGCGAGTTTTGGTCATAATTTGAAATGACCGTATTAGCGGAACGCCGTAAAGTGAAACGCCGTAAAGCGGGGCCCTGCTGTATTAATATTGAAGCATTATGAAAGCACAATATCACTGTCAAAAAAATATCTCTAGTTATCCCACTGACCCAATGAAAGATACTTTATCAATCAATAGTTTAGTTCTACAACAGTTAATTATATGCGAGGTATTTGGTACTGTACCATACTGTAAATTAATTTACAAAAACATGTGGTTAGCATACACATATTTCTCCACAATAAAAAGTACCCCAGAAACCATTACGAAATGTATGATCAATAGTATACCTTCCATTATTTAAAAATTTAAACATTTGTAATCAAAGATGATTTTCATGTTTAGTGAAGTGTTAATCATGATGGATGGCCCTCTTGGATCTCAAATGAATGTCTCATCATCTTTACAGGTAAATGAACTACTGTTTTCTTCCTTACTATCATTTATGTCATTGTTCTGAGAAGCAGAGGGATGATTATTAATTAAGTATTCTGGTCGTCAGCTATGGGCTGGCTTGGATGGTCTTGAAGAATAGACCGGCATGGAGATAAACACAAATTCTGCCCAAAGATGTGGTGAGCAGGAGGAATGTAGCTTGTAATTTCTCGATGGCGACTAGCAATGTGCTTCCTGAGGTGTGATCGTTCAGTGGCACAGTAAGAGCAGTGGGGGCAGGGGAAGAGGCGACGATCATGGGCCATCCATCGGCGCAGAGTGGTGCGAGGAACACTGAAGGCCTTGGCTGCCTGTCTCCCTGTCATGAGACCTTCAGCAACTGCATGCACTGCCAGCATCAACTTCTGCTTTTCCACATTTGGAGCAGAATACAGCGTGTTTATCCTAGCCAGAGTGTTAATGCCACCACTTGTGCTGCTGAGCCAGGGATGATGAAGAGTGTCCAAGCTGCCCTCACCACCACCCACGCCCTGCAACAACCACAACACACCTCAACCAAGCCACTCTCTTAAATCTCATCCCTCCATCTCACTCAACAAAATATTATTTCAGTATCCATTTATTTATGTATCATACATGCATTCCTCCTGAGTTTTAAATCAAGTGCATTTTTTTAAGTTTCATGTAGTAAGCTTAAATTTAATTACATAGAACAAGAACAAATAACAAAAAAGGCATAATACCGTGGCTGGAACAATACACAAATAACCCGCACATAAAAGAGAGAAGCTTACGACTTTGTAAATGGTCCAAGTCGGACCGAAACGTCGTCATAAGCTTCTCTCTTTTATGTGCGGGTTATTTGTGTAACAAGAACAAATTTAACCAACATCAAACTTGATCAACTAGTTTTTTTTTTTTTTTATTAAACTGGACCAACTAGTTTTTTGTTAAATCAACTAGTGGGTGTGCTGTTTAGCTATAAATGGCCATCCTTCATTTAAAATACAGTAATAAGAGGAAAAATGCTTCCAAGAACAATATTCAGATTTTTGCAAATAAATTAACAATTTATGCTACAATACCATCAAAAGCTGGTAACAAAACATTAAAATTATCAATGATTTTTTAAAAAATAAATATTTTGTGTTAAATACTGTAAAGGTACCTGCTTAATGACACATTAATGTACTGTACATAATTTTGAATAATGACTGTGAATACACTCGTAAATAAACTTAAGTTACATACCAGTTACCCAGTTATGGAGACCAAGAAGTCACATTTGAACCAAGAACTTGTGTAAAAACTGGTGAATTTTAGAAATGCTTATAAAATAATTGCCTTTTTTTTTTTACAAAACAATTGTGTGTATGATGTAAATCATAACATTCCAACTGTATTTAATTTGTATGAAAATCAAATACATATTATCCATTTTTGGAATCTAAAAACACCACACACACACACACACACACACACACACACACACACAGAGAGAGAGAGAGAGAGAGAGAGAGAGGAGAGAGAGAGAGAGAGAGAGAGAGAGAGGAGAGAGAGAGAGAGAGAGAGAGAGAGAGAGGAGAGAAGAGAGAGAAGAGGAGAGAAATGAGAGAAAGAGAGAGAAGAGGAGAGAGAGAGGAAGAGAAGAGAGAGAAAGAGAGGAGAGAGAGAAGAGAGAGAGGAGGAAAGAGAGAGAGAGAGAAAGAGGAGAGAGAGAAAGAGAGAGAGAGGAGAGAGAAGAGAGAGAAGAGAGAGAAAGAGAGAGAAAGAGAGAGAAAGAGAGAGGAGAAAGAGAGAAAGAGAGAGAGAGAGGAAGAGAAAGAGAGGAGAAGAGAGAGAAGAAGAGAGAAAGAGAGAGAGAAAGAGAGAGAGAGAGAAGAGAGAGAGAGAAGAGAGAGAAGAGAGAGAGAGAAAAGAGAGAGAAAGAGGAGAAAGAGAGAGAAAGAGAGGAGGAGGAAAGAGAGAGAAAGAGAGAGAAGAGAGAAGAGAGAGAGAGAGGAAGAGAGAGAAGAGATGAGAAAAGAGGAGAAGGAGAGAAGAGGGAGAGGAGAAGAGAGAGAAGAGGGAGAGAGAGAGAGGAGAGAGAGAGGAAGAGAGAGAGAGAGAGAGAGAGATGAGAGAGAGAGGAAGAGAGGAGACGAGGAGGAGATGAGAGGAAGAGATGGAAGAGAGAGAGAGAGGAGAGAGGAGAGAGAGAGTGTGTGTGTGTGTGTGTTAGTTACCATTTGGTCTAGGCAATGTCGATTAGACACTAGGCTGATAAGTGTGTGTGTGTTGTGTGTGTGTGTGTGTGTGTGTGTGTGTGTGTGTGTGTGAGTGTTTGTTGTTTGTTTTTGGAGCCTTTAGAAAAACTCATAAAGGATTTTAATTTGTCTGCATACCAAATTATATATGCTGTATGTACAGATGTGACAAAGTAAAAATCAGATACTATGTTGCTATCATGAAATATGAAAAAAATACTAGGATTCAAAAACAGAAAACAAGAACTTGGTGATTCTCCTCATACACAAACCACCATTGGTAATAGTAGAGAAATTCACAAAGAAGACATACAATACAGTTGAACCCAGCAATTTGCCGGGTTTAGGTTCCTGATGGTAACATGAATGCTGGTGCCTCAGGGTTCATGTCATGCAGTACATATTTAACCCTTAAACAAATTTACGTTCACATATGTAGTGCTCCAAAAGTAGATCTGCGTTTTTTTACATATTTTCAAATGTATAACAAAAAAAAATAGATAAAAGTTTTTTACACGTTTTCAAATGTAAAAAAAAGAAAAGAAGACCTACGTTTTTTTTTTACATACAGTGGACCCCCGCATAACGATATTAATCCGTTCCTGAGAGTTCATTGTTATGCGAAATTATTGTTATGCGAATGAATTTTCCCCATAAGAAATAATGGAAATCAAATTAATCCGTGCAAGACACCCAAAAGTATGAAAAAAAAAAAATTTACCACATGAAATATACATTTTCCTAAACACAAAGAGAAGGATACATGCACAATAGTAGAGCAGTACATGCACAATATATATTGTGCATGTACTACTCTACTAAATGAAGAATAAATGACACTTACCTTTATTGAAGATGCAGCAATGACTGATGAGACACTGTGTCCTGGGAGTGCCTTTTCTCCTGAGTACTGTAGGTCCTGTTTGGCATTTTCTTCCAGAACAGACCTTATCACACTGTGTATGCCACTACGATTCTTAAATCTCTCAAACCAACCTCTGCTGGCTTTAAATTCACCAATACGAGCACTAGTTCCAGGCATTTTTCCCTATTCACCTGGGTGTTAGTCGACTGGTGTGAGTTGCATCCTGGGAGACAAGATTAAGGACCCCAATGGAAATAAGTTAGACAGTCTTCAATGACACTGACTTTTTTGGGTTATCCTGGGTTTAATTGTTTCTTGGTATTCTCAATAAGCCACACCAGCAACGGTGCTACAACAGCAGCAGCAGCAGCTGACAGTGCTACAGCAGCAGCTGACAGTGCTACAGCAGCAGCAGACGGTGCTACAGCAGCAGCAGACGGTACTACAGCAGCAGCAGACGGTACTACAGCAGCAGCAGCAGCTGACGGTGGTACAGCAGCAGCAGCAGCTGACGGTGCTACAGCAGCAGCAGCTGACAGTGCTACAGCAGCAGCAGAAGCAGCTGACAGTGCAGCAGCAGCAGCTGACAGTGCTACAGCAGCAGCAGACGGTGCTACAGCAGCAGCAGATGGTACTGCAGCAGCAGCAGCTGACGGTGGTACAGCAGCAGCAGCAGCAGCTGACGGTGGTACAGCAGCAGCAGCAGCAGCTGATGGTACTACAGCAGAAACAGCAGCTGACAGTGCTACAGCAGCAGCAGACGGTGCTACAGCAGCAGCAGCAGCAGCTGACGGTGGTACAGCAGCAGCAGCTGACGGTGCTACAGCAGCAGCAGCAGCTGACAGTGCTACAGCAGCAGCAGCAGCATCAGCAGTTGACCATGGTACCACAGTATTTCGATAATATTTCTCACCCTTTTTACCACAGGGTTGGCACTAGAAGTTTTCTTGGGGCCCATGGTCACTTATTTTGCAGATAAAATCACCAAAAACGCTGTAATAATACGAAATGTTCCGATTGTATGCTTGGATGTTACCGTGGAGGCTGGCTTGTAAACAATGCCACCGGCGGAACATGTGAGGCTGGCTCAGGCCGCACATTAAACGCGTCTCGGACGAATAGCGTTGAGCGGGTTTTTTAGCGGTATGCGAGGCAAAATCTTAGCGATAAAATGTATCGGTATGTGGATTTAACGTTATGTGATGCCAACGGTATGTGGGGGTCCACTGTACTTTCAAATGTTGAAAAAACGTAGATCTACGTTTGGACAGTTTAAGGGTTAAATAATTTAAATAATGCATATTTGCATTATTTAAATATTTCTTAGCTTTATCTCTTTAATCCTTTCACTATCCAGACCCCCAAAATTAATATTGCTCTCAGTGTCCACTTAAAAAAAAAATTCTTCTGAAATGGTAGAGAATCTTTTCCTGAATGTAATGGCAACAAATATACAAAAGTTCATGGAAACTTACAAAATTATGCAGTGCAGGCACAATTTACGTATCAGCAATTTTACTCACTTTGAATTTTATCTAAGCCAGTTCTACTGCTCCATTCAACCAAATTCTTCGCTGTTTCCCTAGTATGCCTTCAGTTCTATTAATTAGCACAAGAAACTACCTATTCAACTACTTTTTAACCCTTTCAGGGTCCGTGCCATAGATCTACAGCTTTACGCTGAGGGTCCAAACCGTAGAACTATGCCAAAATTCTAACGGTGTCAAATTTAGCGAGAGAAGGCTGGTAGGCCTACATCTGAGAGAATGGGTCTGTGTGGTGTGTGTGCACCGTAAACAAAAATTCTAGGTGCTCACATGGTATTGTGGGAACGCTGCCTCAGTAACCTTTGTTCACCATGCCTCACTGCAAGGCAGCTCTCACTCCAAGGCGAATTGGGATTCTCCTCTTCCTAACTGATAGTTCTGACTCTGATGGAAGTGGAAAAGAAGAATTCTATGGCTTTGATCGATTAGTGACCGAAAGCAATGACCAGGATATCGAAAATAGTGCAGAAAATCCTGATGATCCTCAACCTTCTACCTCTGGCGTGGGCATGTCTCAGTCATGTTCTGTTGTACCTCGCTGCAAGAGAAAACTAATATTTTCGCGTGGCCAGGCCTCAGACTTCAGTAATGATGATGATAGTGATGTGGACTGTGTTTTATTGCTCTTGATGATCATTCGAGTAGTGATAGTGATGAATCATATTCACCAGTGAAGCGTCAGTATATACGCCACCGCATGCGGTCGGGAAGTGTTCCCTATGCATTTCCCAGGGGACGGAGTACACCCCAGGGTACATCCCGTGGCCCTACACCAGGAATAGACAGTGAAAGTGAGGATGATGTGGCTAAACTTGGCATGGATAGACCACAGGCATCAGTAGGTGGTGGTACTGGTGGTGATAGTGGTGGTGGTAGTGCCACAGCCATGCATGACTCACCAGCCCAGGCCGGGACCCATGCCACTGACTCCTCACCTCAAGGACAAAGCAGAGCATCATCCACCACCACACCATTACTACAACTACAACCACAGCCAGCGTATGACGTCCGGTATCCACCAGTAAACCACATCTGGGATTGGCAGCAAAACCCCAATTTTGTTCCCAATCCCCATCAGTTTGATGACTCTCAAAGTGGAATCCTACCAGCGTGTTCCTTGGAAACACTGCAAATGAACTGGAATTCTTTAAACTATTCTTTGACCAGCCCTTGATGGAAATTTTTGTCAGGGAAAGTAACAAGTACTTTGGGTACACAATGGCAAATACAATCATATCACCATAGTCAAGACTACACTGGTGGAAAGAGACAACTGTGGCTGAAATGTATTTGCTTTTTGCAACAATAATGCTTATGCCTCATGCCTATAAGCATAATATAAAATCATACTGGTCCACAGATCAGCTAATTTGTACCCAGGCCTTCAGTGAAATCATCCCAGTGAACAGGTTTATCTTACTGTTATGTATGTTGCACTTCTCTGACAAAACCAGGCCTGACAGAAGTGACAGGTTATACAAGATTAGAAATGTTTTTATGTATCTGAAACAAAAGTTCAACATGTGACTTTATCCATTCTAGAGTCTTGTAATTGATGAGTCTTTGATATTGATCAAAGGTAGACTGTCGATCAAGCAGTATATACCGAGCAAGAGGAAATGCTTTGGTATAAAACTGTTTGTACGTGTTCTGTGACTGTGACAGTACTGGACATTATTGTATACACGGGAAGTAAAACATTGAAAGATACCAGGATGTTATTGAGTATCTCAGGTGGCATAGTGAGAAATATGATGGTACCTTATCTTGGTAAGGGGCATACATTATATACTGATAACTGGTACATAAGCCCTTTACTCAGTGATTTCTTGCGAGTGAACACGACAGATGTGTGTGGCACAGTGTGTTCTCCTCGTAAACACATGCCCAGGTTCAACGCAGGCACTCGTGCTGGTGAAATGCAGGTGTTTACTGCCAATGACATCATTGCATTAAGGTGGCATGACAATCGAGATGTCACATTGTTGACAACCATTCACCCTTACGAAATAAAAGACAGTGGCAAAGTTGATAGAGTGACTAATGAACATATTAAAAAAACAGTAACAGTGATTGATTATATACAAAATATGCATTTGGTGGACAAATGTGACATGCAGATTGGCTTTGTCGATTGTGTTTGTAACAGTTACAAGTGGTACATAAAACTTTTCTTACATCTCATGGACATTTCAATGCTCAATGCATATAACATGTACCAGATAAAGACTGGCAACAGACCACTGTATGGTGAATTTTGTTTGTCTGTTGTCAATCCCAAAACTTACCGACTTTGTGAGATGCTCCCCAGCCTTCAGCAGTCCAAAACTCAAGGAATATGACTCTTTCCTTAAGACCATACTAGAGAGTGTATTGAATCTTTCCCTTGAAGATGGACAGTGGTTGCAAGCCTCACTTGGCAAACCTGAGAATAGCGTTCCGGTACCTCAGTAAGGAATCGTTCAAGACTTTATACACTGTGTACGTCAGGCCCATACTGGAGTACACAGCACCAGTTTGGAACCCACACCTGGTCAAGCACGTCAAGAAATTAGAGAAAGTGCAAAGGTTTGCAACAAGGCTAGTTCCAGAGCTAAGGGGAATGTACCATGAAGAAAGGTTAAGTGAAATCAGTATGACAACACTGGAGGGTCAGGGGAGACATGATAACGACATCCAAAATACTGCGTGGAATAGACAAGGTGGACAGAGACAGGATGTTCCAGAGATGGGACACAGAAACAAGGGGTCACAATTGGAAGCTAAAGGCTCAGATGAGTCAAAGGGATGTTAGGAAGTATTTCTTCAGTCATAGAGTAGTTAGGAAGTGGAATAGTCTGGCAAGCGATGTAGTGGAGGCAGGAACTATACATAGTTTTAAGACGAGATATGATAAAGCTCATGGAGCAGGGGGAGAGAGGACCTAGTAGCAATCGGTGAAGAGGCGGGGCCAGGAGCTGAGTCTCGACCCCTGCAACCACAATTAGGTGAGTACACACACACACACACACACACACACACACACACACACACACACATACATACATACATACATACATACATACATACATATATATATACACACACACACACACACACACACACAGACACACACACACACACACAGCAGGGCCCCTTACGGCGTTCCACTATTATGGACATTTCAAATTACGACCAAAACTTGTTATACAGCTCCCCACCACCCACCATGGTCACTGTGCCCCACCCAGTTTGTTTACATTCTCCGTGAACTCCGCGTCTATTATCTCTGGAAACTTTCCAAAATTTCAAGTGTTTTAAAGTTATTTCATGTTTTGTAAACACTCTGATAATTATACTTATGTGTACCTGCACCTAAATAAACTTATACACTGTGCTGGCATGCAGGTACACATTAAAATCACCATGAATGTCTTATTAGTCTTGAAGATGCCATAATAATGATAATAATAATAATCACTCTGAGGCACAGTGTCATATATTACATTAATATAAACATTTTCAATTAATCCATCTATGATTTTTTTTTTCTTATAAAATATGTAATACACACACTATGTAACATATAAACATGATAAATACACCCAGAGTAGAATATATTAACATAAATATGAGATGTTAAGTGTAGATGAGAGTGTATGAACCAAAACCAGACGCGTTCGTCTGCTTGTTTACATACTCTGCGTCTCTCTCCTCTCTCATTTAATCACTCTCTCTCTCTCATTTATTCATTTTACTTCATTTACTCACTTCTCATCCTACATTAAGGCTACAAATATTTTAAGGTAAGTAATGAGTGTACTGTATATGCATTTTATCACTCTATTGCGCTTTAAATGCTGTAGTATATTACTGTGGGTAGGGTGGCCTGGCCTGGCTGGCAACCATGCCTCCCACACCTGACTTCCTACAAATAAACACTACTCACCTCTCACCCTACATTAAGACAACAGATATTTTAAGGTAAGTAATGAGTGTACTGTATATGCATTTTATCGCTCTGGGGTGCTTTAAATGTTGTAGTATATTACGTGTGGGTGGGATGGCCTGGCTGGCTACCATACCTCCCACACGTAACTTCTTTCAATAAATACTACTCACCACTCACCCTACATTAAGACTACAAATATTTTAAGGTAAGTAATGAGTGTACTGCGTATTTTACTTTTTAATGTTTTTAATGCCTAGTTCTATTGCAAACTTAATATATGTTTGTGTAAACTTGTTATCTGGCATTTATATGCATTTATAATTGGAAACAATGGTGTTTTTCTTTCTGGCAGTAGCTTGGAACCTAACTTGCTGTATAATTGGGTCCGTGTGTGTGTGTGTGTGAGTTAGTTAGTTAGTTACCATTTGGTCCTAGGCACATGTCGATTAGACACTAGGCCTGATGTATGTGTGTGTGTGTGTGGTGTGTGTGTGTGTGTGTGTGTGTGTGAGAGAGATGTGTGTATGTATGTGTATATATGTACGTGTGCATGTATGTGTGTATGTATGTATGTGTGTATGTATGTGTGTGTGCATGTGTGTGTGTATGTGTGCATATGTGTGTATGTATGTGTATATGTATGTGTGTATGTATGTGTGTATGTATGTGTGTATGTATGTGTGTATGTATGTGTGAATGTATGTGTGCATGTATGTGTGTATTCACCTAGTTGTACTCACCTAGTTGAGGTTGCAGGGGTCGCGTCCAAGCTCCTGGCCCCCGCCTCTTCACTGGTCGCTACTAGGTCACTCTCCTTGAACCGTGAGCTTTGTCATACCTCTGCTTAAAGCTATGTATGGATTCTGCCTTTCTACATCGCTTCCCAAACTATTCCACTTCCTGACTACTCTGTGGCTGAAGAAATACTTCCTAACATCCCTGTGATTCATCTGTGTCTTCAACTTCCAACTGTGTCCCTTTGTTGCTGTGTCCCATCTCTGGAACATCCTGTCTTTGTCCATCTTGTCAATTCCTCTCAGTATTTTGTATGTCGTTATCATGTCCCCCCTCTCTCTCCTGTCCTCCAGTGTCGTCAGGTTGATTTCCCTTAACCTCTCCTCGTAGGACATACCTCTTAGCTCTGGGACTAGTCTTGTTGCAAACCTTTGCACTTTCTCTAGTTTCTTTACGTGCTTGGCTAGGTGTGGGTTCCAAACTGGTGCCACATACTCCAATATGGGCCTAACGTACACGGTGTACAGGGCCCTGAACAATTCCTTATTAAGATGTCGGAATGCTGTTCTGAGGTTTGCTAGGCACCCATATGCTGCAGCAGTTATTTGGTTGATGTGTGCTTCAGGAGATGTGCCTGGTGTTATACTAACCCCAAGATCTTTTTCCTTGAGCGAGGTTTGTAGTCTCTGGCCCCCTAGACTGTACTCCGTCTGCGGTCTTCTTTACCCTTCCCCAATCTTCATGACTTTGCACTTGGTGGGGTTGAACTCCAGGAGCCAATT